GGTCCAGCAAGTTGGTTGGTAATTGTAGTACTACGTGATTTCAAGTTACAACAAGATGATGCCATATTGAAACATTATTATTGCAAGACACTAAAGATGAATTTGGTTTATATTTTGATTGGCCAATAGCTGTGATAAGAATAATATTTTAAAGTTTTGCCCTTAGCTGTGCATTTGCATATGCAATGTTGATTATAAAGTGTGCATTGCTTCTGCTATTGTATACAATCTACTTGTGATATAATGTTTTTACTTTCGTGGCCTGCGATCTTAATGTTTACTTTTGTGCCCTGATTTATTGAAAACATTGGAGTCATTTATATTGAAATGTGGTTGAAATGCAACATGGATTATTTTTTTTTGTAATAACTGTATATAGTATAGAATATTTGTTGGATTTAATTTTGCATCTTTAGTTGCTGAGAGTAAGCAGTAAAGTCATATATGTTCGTTTTTACTTTTTGTTTTTGACAGGGAGAGAGTTTTTATAACCCATATATTCCTGGGGTTTTAAAAGAATTGAGTGATAAAGGCTTAATTGAGGAAAGCCAGGGTGCTCGTGTAATCTTTCTGGAAGGGTTTAACATCCCTCTTATTGTTGTCAAGAGCGATGGTGGTTTCAACTATGCTTCAACTGATTTAGCAGCTCTTTGGTATGGTCTTTTTTGTTGGATAATTTTCATGGATGTTTTGGTTTTATGAGTCAAAGCAATTACGTTATGGTCAGTCATTTAGCCTTGTTTCTTTACTATAGTTCTTTGTGATCTTCATACTGTGCCCCTTTGAGAGTAAGTTGTCATTCTTAGTTTCTTACTGACGTTTCTACCTGCAATGTGTTGTATAGGTATCGCCTTAATGAGGAGAAAGCGGATTGGATCATATATGTTACTGATGTTGGCCAGCAGCAGCATTTTAATATGTTTTTTGAGGTATGTTACTAAAACTGTGACCTGTCTCTGCATACCCTGATTTGTGGTGTTTTGTTCATTTTCTGGTCTATGTTATTGTTGTAATTATTTATCGCGTAGCATAAATCTTCTTATGTGGTTTCAAGTACATGTTCTCGCTTCTAAGGCTTACGGTAATAGTAATACGATGCAATTATATGGTTGGACATAATTTGATGTTTTGTTTCAGGCAGCTAAACGTGCAGGTTGGCTCCCAACTGATGGCGCCTTGAAACCAAAGGTTACCCATGTTGGTTTTGGTCTTGTTCTGGGAGAAGACGGAAAACGCTTTCGTACTCGCTCTAGTGAGGTGGTCCGATTGGTTGATTTGCTTGATGAAGCCAAGGATCGTAGCAAAAAGGTTCTTGTTGAACGTGGTATGATATCCTATGACCTATGTTCGAACATATTCTGAAGGGATGTAGAACATATCCTGAAGGGAATTGTATTTATCATCTTAGCATAGATTAGTATTCCGTATCTCCTAACCTCTAAATCTTCTCAAGTGGGTAATTATGTTTTAAAATTCAGGCTGGACTGAGCAGGAACTTAATCAAATTGCTGAGGCTGTTGGTTACGGTGCTGTTAAGTAAGCTGCCTAAACTTTTTTAAGTTTCTCCTGGTTATGTTGTAATTTTTATCTTCATAATGGATGGGGTGGGATAGCCTAGGTAAATTTTACGATAACGTATAAACTGTGACTACTGCCCCTGATTTTCTGCATCCTGAACGTGAATGGATATATCAATGTAGTATTTCTTGAATAACCTTAGGAATGGTTAAAAACTCCATGGTATCCATTTACAAAAACAATTAGAGAGAATGTATGTGAATAATTGCATACTTGGTCCAGCCTGTAGATTGTTCCTAGAATGGGACTTAATTCTTTTATATTCTTAATGTTTTGACAGGTATGCTGATCTCAAGAACAATAGATTAACCAATTACACATTTGATTTTGATCAAATGCTAAGTGATAAGGTGCGTCAACTAGTATTTGGCGAAGGCTTTGCATTAAGATTGTTCCTGACTTGTTCTAATTACTTGTCCTATATGTATTAAACTATGTTACTAATGCTTTCTGTCCTACGGTTCGGAAACTACCTGAGCAGGGAAATACTGCTGTTTACTTACTCTATGCTCATGCTCGGATCTGTTCCATAATAAGGAAATCTGGCAAAAACATAGACGAATTGAAACAAGTAAGTTCAGCTGCATTTTTCCACATTGTTACCTGCGCTTATTTATTCCTATTCGCCACTGGAAACTGGTGGATGGGGTCTGATTTTATTTTTTATTTGAAACAGACGGGGGAAATCGTGTTGGATCATGACGGTGAGCGTGAATTGGGGCTTCATTTGCTTCAGTTTTCAGAGGTAGGTGCATGCAATAATTGAACTGATTGTTGTCTTCCTCGTGTCCTTAGCTCGAGTCTTCGTTGATTACTGCTGTAATGCGTGTGGAATTCAGATTTGTATTTTTCCTCTTCACTTTTCAGAACGTGGAGGAGACCTGCACTAATCTATTGCCGAATGTTTTGTGTGAATACCTATACAATTTATCAGAAGTCTTCACCAAAAAATTCTACTCCAATTGCCAGGTACACCCGTCTTTGTTTGTCTCATGCTTTACGCTGATGAGTATTGATAATGTCACATTTCTGGGATGAACCGAAGCCAACTTTAAACTCAACGATGGATCATTATTTAGCACCGAAACCTGAGAGCCTTCTGCTTAACAATGGAATGAAGTAACCCCGTTGTTCATTTGGCTTGCCTCACTAGGCTAGGAAAACAGTACATGCCTAAGCATATACAATGAAATTTGGTGAATGTACATGATGTTTTGTTGAATACAATCCTGACAATCTTATTCATCTTCATTGCGTTCTAAACTTTGCAGGTTGTCGGGTCTCCCGAGGAAACGAGCAGGCTCTTGCTCTGTGAAGCAACAGCCATTGTGATGAGGAAATGTTTTAATCTGCTCGGTATCGAACCGGTTTACAAGATATGAAGGACCAAAATAGTGTTGTAACCATCTTAGTTAACGGGGATATTTGAATGCTGCTTTTCCGTTTGCACTGTAAAATTGTAATCAGATCTTCAGTCGATATCATTTTTGGTGTCAGAGTTCAAAATTTGAAAAGAAAAAGGACCGAGTGTTGAATTGGAATTTTCTTCTCACACACGACTTGTCGTTTCGTATCTCACCAGAAAAATACAGCAAAACGACATCATTTGTAATTTCGTATAAAAATAGATAAAAATCGAAGGCTATGATTGATTTGGTGTCACATTCTAGTTTCGACTTCGTTGTAGCACGATATTGTCCGCTGTGGGCTTACCATTCTCTCAAGGATTTGTTTTTGGGTTTCGGCACGAAGACTTCTCAAGGGGGTCATCCATCCTACTATTGCTCGTACTTGCTTAATTTTGGAGTTTTGATGGAATCCGAAGCCAATGAATTTCTAAAATACCTCATGCTATAGGGAGGGGAGTATGTACATATAAGACACATCATCCCCTTTCCGTTGGTCGATGTGGGATCTTACATTTGGTACGAATCATGTGACTTCCATAACTAAATCTTTGCATTAAGTTTCATGCGTCCTTTTTTTTTTTTTTTTAATTTCTCTTATTACTTTGTGTGGTTCGATTTTCATTTGATTTGTTCAATTTAAAAACTGCAAAAATAAATGAGCGTAAGATTTGAAAAAAAAAAAAAAAAAAAAAAGAAAGAAGCATAAGCATTACTTCTTTAAACCCACCAAAAAAAAAAAGTTATCAGGCGAACTATTGAGTTGTTTGACAAGGAAGCATAGAAATGAGAGAGAATCAGAGAATTCATAACATAAAAAATAGGGTAATTATACAAAATGGTTCCTGAGATTGAAAATCAATAGAAATGATCTCTGAGATTGAAAATCAATAGAAATGGTCCCTAAAATTGTCCACCATCCATGATTTTGGGCAATTTTCAAAGCTTTGTAACTCAATCGTTTTTTAACCAAATTCAACTCATAATATATCAAAATGAAGATAGGAAAATGTAGAATAAGATTATACCTATTTGGAAGCACAATAGTTGTCGGAAATGGCCAGAAAATAGCCTGAAATGTGACTAGTCCGCAGGAAAACTGGAAAACTCGCCGACAACTTGGTAAACTTTAAACGTTCATAACTGCTTCAAAACTCAACCAAATCAAGTGAAAAACAAAAATAATACTTCTTGACGAGACGAAGAGAATGGTAACTTTTTCAAAGGCTAACTCGCTGTGGTTTGGTCGGACAACGGCTTGAAAGTGGCTAACCATTATCGAGTTAGCCACTTTCGAGCAGTTTTCCTGCCAAAACACAGAAATTTAGCAGTAAATAAAGATATCATTCTCTTCGTCTCGTCGAGAAGTATGATTTTCATTTTTGAATCACTTGATTTCATTGAGTATTGAAGAAGTTATGAACATTTAAAGTTTACCTAGTTTCCGGCGAGTTTTCCAATTTTCCCGCGGACCAGTCACCTTTCAGGCTATTTTCCGGCCATCTATGGCAATCATTGGGCTTCCAAATAGGTATAATCTTGTTCTACACTTTCTTATCTTCATTTTAATATATCATCAGTCGGATTTGGTTAAGAATCGATTGGATTACAAAGTTTTGAAAATTGCCCAAAGAGTTTTTAACGGAAGAACCAAAATCATGTATGGTAGACAATCTCAGAGACTATTTCTATTGATTTTTAATCTGAGGAACCATTTCTATTAAACATGCAAATGTCAGGAATCATTTTGTATAATAACCTTGAAAAATAAACACAGTACGCTATCTTTAATAAGAACATTTTTCCTCCATTTCTCTCCTCTTTCACACCACCCTCCATCCATCATTCCCCATTTCTAGTTTCTTCAATACATGCCTTTTAACACAAAAATATGAAAATAAAAAAATTTTGCCAATGAAAAAAGTGATCGGATCATATAGATTATAGCTTATAATAATGTGCAGTTTATGTTGAGAATTCTGTAATTAAATATTCAAACAATAAAATGGGGACAGATTTTCATAATATCGGAATCCATGTTAAGAGCTCTGTAAATTAATTGAACAATAACAATTAATTAGCATACAAAAACCCAAATCGAAATGCGAGTCATTTTTTTCTCGGTTACAAGATCAAATCCTAACCCTTGAATACAAAAAACCACGCCAAATTTCTAATATGTTTTCGCATAATTAGAAGAAAAAAAGTTCTGTACAGAAATTGATAAATTAAAGCTTAATTAACTAATAAATTAATCCAATAATTTTCCTCTGTTACTAAGGGAATACAATAAAGATCCTACTCCTCTTGAAGCTTTCTTTGAAATATTAGCTTTTGGAGAAAGATACGGTGATTTGTGACCATCAAAACCACCACCAAAGCTCTTGCATGCCTTTATTCTCTTCCTACAAGGTGCAACCTTTTTTGCAAGGTCCTCTAAGGTCGTCACACTTGCTACGGTTGTGAAAGATTGTGACTTTCCTTCATAACATTTTGATAAACCTCTCCTGCATATATATATAAGAAACCCTAATAAAAAACCATATAATAATATGGAAACATATATAGTACTAACTGGAAAATCATCGGGTAAACAGAAAAACCATCTGCTCGGCTCCTTACTTGATAGGAAGATGCATCATTAGGTCAGATAGTTCGTAAAGCGGCCCGTTCGACGACGATGTAGAAGAAGATGAAGAAGCATCCTCCACCAAGTCAGATGAAGATGATGATTCCGTTGAGCTCATAGAATTCTGCATGGAAGAAGATTCAAAAGATCTTGAGTCATCACAAATAACTTCTTCGTGTTCTTGGTTGAAAACCCAAAATTCCTTTCCAACTTGATGAGCATGATTTTCTTCTCTATTTTGACCCCCAGAAGCCCTCATTTCTCCTTCACGACGACCCATTTCTTGCAATCTTAACGTTGAAGATTCTGCAGAACTTCAACACAATACAGTTTCCAATAGGCTTCTGTCCAAGGGAGCATACATATATAAGCATGTGTGCGTGTGTGTGCGTGTATATATATATGCCAGAAAACTTCCATAAAATACTTGGCGGTGTTGCGTTTATTAATGAGGAGATGGATGGGAAGAGATCCCCTCCCACCAAATCCCGTGGATCATGTGGTTTGGACTCATGAAATTTGATCAAATAGTTACAATTATTATAAATTTTAATTTGATTCTTTATTTGTATCTGTTAGATCAAATTTTAAGAATTCGGATCTCTAAATCTTTAAGACTTGGTAGAAGAGATTCGAAGGAAATCTCTTCCCGAGATAGATAACACTGACTATTCTGTTACATTTTTATATTAAATTTTAATTTTCCTACATAGGGCTTTATCCCAGATTTTGTCATCACATCCTTATGGTCTAAATTGATTTGCTTTCCCATGCTACAAGAAATAAGGATAAGCTCCAACTTGGAAGACATCCAAACCTGAGTCACAGTCTTTGGGGCAACTTTTGCCTCTTAAAGTCATGACAGATTTCCCTATTTATCCGTTGTTAATTTCGAGTTTATCTTCGACACTCCATAAGAGATGAGTCAAAATTTAAAATTCGAACAAAAAACGAGAAAAGATAAAGAGTTAAAGTTTTTTCAAGACAAAGTGAGAATATTTTTTATAGGTTTGACAGTAAAAACGTTTAATTTGCATTCAATTTAATGGGGGTAGAGTCCAAAGAGTTCAATTGTCACACTTTAATTTGTCTTGGACGCAAGTTTTTACTATGGAAAACCCTTGTTTCTCCACATAAATGGGAAAAAATCCTTGCTTCCTTCTCTTGTACTTTGACCTTGAAAATTCTTTTCTCCAAACTTCTCCTACCATGCGTAAGGACGATACTTACCAGTTTTGGAGTGATATGAAAAATATTCTTATTATTTTCGTCACGTAATAATTCACATGATAAAAATTGTAAGTACAAATTTTTCGTTATTTATTTCCAAATAAACGTTTTTGTGAGCTTAATTATAATAAAGAATTGTACGAATATATTTTTATGATATATTATTTGAATGACAAGAAGGAAGACTCTAACTTAACTGAAATAACAAAGTATAATGTTTTAGCTAATTTTATTGCAATTTTTAATGATAATAAGGGATAAAGTCTAATTAAATTATAAGATTGGTTGGTTTTTCAGTGATTTTGTTTTGTTGACAAATGATAGATTTTGCTAAATTAACTATTGATAGAGCTCAAATCTACATCATCATGTAAGAACTTAATATTCTTTTACCATTGTGGTTAATCACCACTGATTTTTTTTGATGAAGTTAATAATTATGGAGAGTTTTGGGGTTTGGTAAAGAAAGGGAATGAGGATAAGGACCAAGGGAGGTTGACTCAGTAACAGCTCATGCTGATTGGATCTGTGTTTTGATGGGCACTCAATCTCCCACCACATGCTTCTTCTGCTTCTGCCATTACCATGTTTATCATTCTTCATCTTATCCATGTTACTTGCAATTCTCCTTATCACAAATAAAAAAAATAAAAATAAAAATGAAAAAGTTATTTATTTTGGGTCAGGATTGCCAAATCTGTTGGACCAAAAAAGCCTCTCTAATTTAATGGTGTTTTTTTTATATAGAAGCCCACAGAAAAACCCTAGATTGATGGCACTGACTGACCCATCCCTACCCCCACCACCCCTCCTACCTCATCTATTTTGGGTCAGCATTCTTCTTTTCTATTTATAGAAGGGATGTGTTATTCACACATCTCATTTTACTTCTCACACACCTTTTGTTAATTTCTGTCCGTTGATCTTTTTCAATTCATCCAATCCGACGGCCGAAAATTAGAAGGGTGTGTGAGAAGTAAAAAAAAGGTGTGTGGATATCACATTTCTTTATAGAATGGGTGTTTACGCATGAAAATATGAATGAGGATCATATATACCCATAGGACTTGACCAAAAAAAATAGGGAACTTTAACAAAAAGCTCTCGTACTATTCACTTTAACGAAAAATCATATTTTTACACTAAAAAATCAATCTTGATACTATTCACTTTACCCTTTATTTTATCCTTATCGTTAAAACTCAAAGTTTTCAAACCATGTTTCATTAGTTTTTCTAAAAAAATATCCATACGACTGATGTGACATCATCTTGTTATGGTATGGTGAAGACATGGAGCTTTGGTCTCCTTTTGTTCATCATACTACCTACTTTTCCTTGAATCTTGATTGAAATCATGGGATATAGCATGATATTGTAATTTTGGAAACATTATATTAAATATAATTATATTAATATGGGAGAAGATTTTCAGGAAGACGTTCCAATCACGTCATCTACAAGCTCGCTCGAATAGGTGAGGCTACGGAACCAAATTGCAAGAATTCCTACTTTTTGTGAGAGCTGTAGTTGTCCTACGGATAACGTAATCATACATTCTTGCTAAACGTTTTCGTGATGGGCCTCACAAGAATATGAACTAAACAATGGCAAGCAAAGCATCTGCCAACTGAAGATTATTCTCAATATGCAAGGACAAATATTGTGAATGAAAAGCTGTAGTTACTGCAGGAGAATTCATGTGATGGTTTGATCAAAACTGAACACTGATACGTATGGGGGAAAACAATGTTGTTATTCTCAAATGTTACATTGCAGTGACAAACTATCTAGGAAAATTTACAGGAGGTTCTAAGCTGCCAACCAGAATCTCGAGATCAATGTCTTTGTCTTCGAACTTCTTGATGAACGGGTGACTCTGAAAGGATGAAGTGACATCTCTATCAAAATTATGACCGCGAAAATAAAACCCAAATTTTTTCAAAACAAGAAAAGAAAAACAGCGGCTTACTAACCAAAAGGTCCAAACATGATGATCTGTGTTGAGGATCCTTCTGTATGCTGCAAATCGAATAAGAAATATAAACAGTCACATTGCAGTCTATTTGATATGTTCAAGGTGAATAGTGCAAGTAATATGTTAATTACCAGGCAGACACGAAAGAACAGAACTCGGGGGAGAACTGATCCGGAGGAGCTGAAGGTGGTGGACTTTCCACAATTGCCTCCAAAAGCTCATAAAAGCTTGGCCAGCTTTGTTGATCTTCAGATTGCATGTAAGGAAACCTCCCGATCGCACACTCCAGTACCACCAAACCTAAACTCCAAATATCACAACTATAGTCATAAGTACTCCCGCTAATTCTCTCCGGCTGAAAGACAAAGTAATGTCATAGTTTCATGAGTCACGTTCAATGGTTTTGGGTAATTACATGTGAAACAAAAGGTGGGGAAAAGTGGATTACTTACCGACATGTAATTGTAAGTACCAACAAATGTGTCTCTTAGACCCATAGAGCTAGCTAGTGAAGCACTCACACCGAAATCAGTAATCTTTACCTGCCCTTCATGGTTTACAAGCAGGTTGGACGGTTTTATGTCTCTATGTATTACATGCCTTTCGTTATGCAGATAGACAAGACCTTGTAAAACCTGATGCATAAGTATAGATCTTTGAGCTAAGGGTAAAACGGGACTTCTGCAAACAGGTTCCGAGTGATTTAAGAACTGACATATAATTTAAAAGATACGCTTGTATACCTGTTTACAAACGACTGCAAGATATGGTTCAAGAATTGTATTAACTTGTCCGATCACATCTGCAAGAGATCCCCGATTCATGTATTCTAACACAAGAGAAATGGCCCCGTTGTGATAGAATGAGTGGTGACAAACCACCACATGTGGACATTGTGCTGCTTGGTTTATTTTTAGCTCCTGCACAATCTGTTTACGAATTTCCTCTTGTATGTTCATCTGGATCACCTGGAGAACACAATGAGAAAGAAATCCTAGTAAAACAGCTATGAGATATATAACTCCACAAACTAAGAGCCACAATGTCCTAATTGCATCTGATACTCATCGCATCAACTTTTTACTCGGAAAGACCAGCCACATTTATAACCAAGATAAGAGAACGATGCCATGCAAGTATTAGGGTGAAAACTGAAATAGTTAACGAGGATCACAGTTCTAACAAGCAATAACTAAGAGGTAGATATAACTGGACAGTACGGTACAGAAGAATATCACGCTCTTTCTGGGAAGGGAGGATTAAAAAAGTCCTATTGGTTGCAATTCCCCCAAGTCTTTGCTAAAACGATTTTTATAAACATCAAAATTTCTTTATTCATTTCAAAGAATTGCCAAAATAAGTGAATGAATGCTTTTTTTCCCTCCGTTCATCACTACATTGTTCTGGTATGCATAACACATCAACTCTCTTAAGTTAATATCCATTCCACTTGAATCCTTAACTAAATCAAACCTTTAGCTCACAGAGCAATGTTAAAACATCTATTACAATCTGTAATCTGCACATAAGCCTTGTGGTTCAAAGAGAAAATTTCTTCTCATACCTCATGTGAAACCAGACTATATCAATTTGCATCACAAAAGAAACAGATCAAATATGACATAACACGATAAAGGCAAGTACATAAAGGATAAGACAGCAGTTGTCTTTGCTAGACTGCTAGTCCACTGACCTTCAAGGCGAATAGTGTTCCGACCCATTTATGACGAACAAGTTGTACTACACCACCACTTCCCTTCCCGATAACTTTGATAGTCTCAAGGTCTTCCAATGTAATTTCAAAGTTGAGCTCCTTACTGTCAGAAGATTGATCCTACATACCAAACAGGCAATTAATCATATTGTGTCTATACACCATATAGTAAGCATGAAAATTTATTTATTATGAAAACATTCACAAGGACATTTCTGTGCAGATAATAGCACTTATATACATCAAAATACAAGAACGCCGAGCGTGTGTTCATTGAAGCATGCAAAAACACACCAACATAAAAAGTCAGCCCTGATAACTTAGGATGCAAAATCAATCCTCGGAGATTTAAAGCATAAGCATAGGACTTGTGAACTTTAATACTTATAAGTTGGATAGACAAATTCGATACATGTTCTGGATGAAATCAAAATCTCCATCCAAGAACACTAAAATCAAATGATGATGTTGAAATAACTTGGAATTCAAGAGCAGCTCTTTATCATCGCTGTAAATTCACCAATCATGCTTCTGCAGTGGGAAGCTTAACAAAATTAAGCCTAATTTTATCCGGGTGGAAACATTAAGGTCTCCGAATTTCATCACCCCTAACTACCAAATTTGGGATGAGAAACATATCAAATGGTTCAACATCAATGTAAGATCAAAGATAAAAAATAAAAAGATGGAAATCTGAAATTAAACTTACCGGGGTCTCCTTCTC